CCCCCCCCCCCCCCCCCCCCCCAGCCAGCGGTGAAACTGCAGGTGAAATTGAGTGAGCGCGGATGTCTGATTGTGCCTTTGTGCCCTGGGCACTTGTAGGAAGGGCGGGTCGGAACTACGGGGTGAACAAAGCATATCGCGTGTCTTGTATTTAATTTTTTTCCCCTGGCGCTTCCGTAGTGGTGTCCCTGCGCCGGTGGACGTGTTCAGTTCTATGGACGGTGGTTTGTTCGCGCGCCCGCAACCAATGCTATCCCTTCTACTGCAAGCAAACATTGCGTAAGTCGACCACCGCTCAAGTCTAACGGACTCGACGGAACCGATAACAAACCCACCCATACCCAGCGTGGAAGTTCCTTCCCACTCAGCAGGTGCCGACCATCATGGCGTCCCTTGGCGTGCCACAGCAAGGAGTTTAGATGGTACCTTCATATATCCACGATTTTCTCTTTGCGGCCCTTTGACAGGCACGGAAGAGGCGTTTAACTGAATTCAGCGGTTCTGGACGGGAAGCGGTGGCAGTGGCGTCCCCTCCTCGGCATCCTCTCTCCCCAAAAGCAAAACATAGTTGTCTCCTTCGGTGCACACTTTTATACGTAAGATACATCTGGGGAGGTGTGTGGCTCAGGACGGTTGTTGTTTCGATTGATGCAACCACTTGAATGTTATTCATAAAGGAGTTGGAGAGAAGGAAGACGAGTTAAGCTAGGCTGGCGAAACCCAAACCGCATCCACATAGACTACCCGCTTTACGCAGATTTTGTCGACGGACGTCTCCCTATTGGCCTTTTCTCAGGAAATACCTTCCGTGCGCCGGCGGATGCTTTCTAAGCTGTAAGCGGTTCTCGCCGGCGGTTATTGTGGCACAAACCCAATCGTTCTCCAGGCAAAACCCGACCGGGGCTATCATCAAGAGGGCATGAACGAAGCCCGGCATCCCAATCTCGCTCCTACCGGCTGCCAGGGTAAGACAGGTGCATGCGTAGACCAAACCGAAGCATTCTCATGACATTTGTAGTATTAGCAGCAAGGCCTGACCATGCTTGTGAAATTCGGGAAGCCGAGGTGTCTTTTCGTCTCTGCCTGTCTAATGTGGGGGCCGTCTATCTTGCATACAGGGCAGATCTACGCCGCAGCTGCGGCGTAGCAAACGCGACAGAAATCAAACGGGATACAGTGCAAAATTAGGCCGAGACACAACACCCACTCTCTCGTTCGCGGGGACAAAACGTTTGTTGATGGTTCTCATGCATTGTCGACCGATCAACTTGTTGACGTCAGCAACGTTTCGCGTCCTACTACAATCTTGCGTGTGGATGCCGTACTCAGGTGTGGCGCTCGCCCGACAACGACCTGAGGGGGCGGCGCTCGGCGTGAATTATCTCTTGTCCGTCACCAAGAAGAGGCCACCTCTTCTAGGAGAAGCTAAACACCAGCAGCGTTGAAAGAACAAGAAGAGACGAGGGTCACCATTGCGGTACCGGCCGAGAGCAAGAAGCAGGAGCACAGGAGAGGACAATGACCGCCATCACGTCTGACCAAAGGAGTACGAAATAACTTCGCCGTGAACCCAATATCAAGGAGGACAACCAAGGCACCGCGGCAAAGCATATATTTGACCAATAGCAGATGCTATTTGACTAATAGCAGATGCTCTGTAGTCTTTTAGCGCAGAGGGAAACTGAAACCCGTCACTGGGGGCTTCAGAGTGTGAACTGCGAGGGACCGCGGAAATACATAAAAGTACGAAGCGTTTCGGAGACTTCAGCCACCATGCACGCTATGATGCGATTCCAAGATACTGGCACATGTTTTCGTAGGCGCATAGAATATGGTGTCAGACGTTCTTCACGTGGGGATGGTGACCATCGTGGAGATGATGGTTTCTGTGACGCGATGAAATGTTTTTTTTTTTTCCTACGTGGGTTGACCTGAGACCCACCGAAATTATTATGTTTCGTAGGACAAGATCACTTGATGCAGGCTAGAAATGAAAGATGTCAACCGCGGCTTCCCCGAAAATCCGAGATGGCCACGGACGGGCTTGTTTCCGCGCACGGCAAGCTTTGCGCGTTGCTGGCGACTGCCTGCCAAGAGTCAGGATGATACCCAATCTGTCTAGAAGAAGGGAACGCACAGCGAGTAATATGAGCAGACAGACAGTCTCTTTTGCGAACCGCTTGCGCGGGCACGTGACTGCGGACTCTTGACCCGTGGTTTGTCGAAATTCACGTGAAACGAAACACTGGGCTGTGGTGCGCCGAGAGGAACCAAGTTGCGGCACTCTTAGAAAAAGAAATGGTGGTTAAGTGGCAGGACAAAGTGCTACCGTTATCGAGCGCCTCAACATGTGAAACCTAACTACAAGTAACGCACCGTGCGTGCACTATAAACACAAGCGGTTTGGTTTTGGGTGTTCCATGTTGACTTGTTGGATGGCCACGCACGGTGGCTCTCCTGTCTACCAGTCTTCCAAAGTTGGCCGCGCGTGCCGCTGCACCCGCCCGCAAACGTGGCCACTACTGCCGCGGGCAGTGAGTGCCGTGGAAAGTGGAAGCACATCGTGATATGCTTGGAATCTAATAAGTCGCCCGTGGTGACCGTGGCCGTGTGTCGACCGCACCACCACCGCCACCGCCACCGCCGCCGTTACTTAACCAATCCTACCACCGCCGCCGATAATAGCTGCTGCCCTGCAGTGCGGTCCGCGATCCGATCCTAATTTGTTCGAAGAAGAGGGACAACCAGGAAGAAGAGCGAGCTCGCCAGAGCGACTCGCGGGGCAGGCAATTTTGCGTGATTCACGGGCAGGTGGGCACTGAATCAATACCAACACCACAGTCGACGCTGCTTGCCAGATTGGGGGCCGGTGACAAATGGTACTACACCGGCAGGCCATGGCCCTGGTCGGTGAGCCGCCCCTGCAGTGTCCATTGTCGCCAGCCCTCCATCTGGCAAGCACCGTCGACTGCCGTGTTGAATCACGTTCACCCCCATCCCACCCATGCACAACCCGTAGCCGCCAGCACGTTTCCCCGCTACAACCAAGAACACCTACATCGCGCGTGCTATCTTCATCATCAACATCCACACCGCCACGACCGGTGCCACCACCATTGGCGGCCACCACCACCACGAGAACCACCACCTGCACCACCACCTCTGAGTATGCCACCACCATGACTCCACGAAGTCCCAGGACATACAACATGACTTCTTCACCTCCGTCCCACAAGCAAGCGTGTCTCAAGATCATTGAACCAGGAGGGAGGGGGGGGGAAGGTGTGGGAGGCGAACGCATTGGGTCGGCGGCGGCAGTAGCGGCGGCCGCGGTGATGCCCGCCGCAATGCCATCGGGACAGCTCCTGAATGGATAGCCGGTGGCGGCGGCGGGGGTGGCGGCGGTGATTCGCCCCACTGCCCCGTCCGGGACCGCTCTTTGGAGCAGCCACCTCCTGTTTCAGACCGATCAACTCGACCAAGACGACATGGGACGTCGATTCGTCCAAGTCCGAGCGCATTTCCGAAAGCGGAGGTGATGAAGGCTGACGCCTTGGTGTCGCTCGCCCTAAAACAAGCCTCGCTGGCCGCGCCATGTCCAAGGCCGATGAAGGCGCAAGAGCCCTGCAAGGTGTCATCCCGACCGCGGAGTTGACGGTCTCCAAGGCGCCATGGGGGAATCTTGACTCTCCGTCGGCCTTGGTCATGACCTGGCCAGCGAGGCTCCATTTAGCCTGGGCGAGCGATGCCAAGGCGTTAGCCATCATCACCTTGGCTACAGAAATGCGCTCGGACTTCGACTAGTCGATGTCCGTGTCGTCTCGGCCGAGTTCTTGGGTCGGCGGCGGCGGTAGCGGCGGGTGCAGTGATGCTCGCCGCGGTGCCCTGGGGACAGCTCCTCAACGGATCGCGGGCGGCGGGGGTGGGGGTGGCGGCGGTGAATCCCCCCACTGCCCTTCCGGGGCAGCTCTTTGGAGCAGCAACCTTTCTGCCAACCGTCTTCCAGACCCAACAGCGTGACCGACAAGACATGGACGTCGATCCAAGACAATGCGCTCGGACATGGACGGATCGACGTCCATGTCTTGTCGGCCGCGTTGTTGTGTCTGGAACAGGGATGACAAGAAGGTGGCTGCTCCATCGCCGCCGCCGCCGCCCGCGATCCGTTGAGGAGCTGTCCCGAGGGCACCGCGACGGGTACTACTGCCGCCGCCGCTACCGCCGCCGCCAATCCGTTGAAGGTTTGCACCGACGGCACGGTGGGGGGTGTCACTGCCGCCATCGCCGCCACCACCGCCGGTTCCACGGACGGCCCCAATGCTGACGTGGCCCGCTTCTGCCGCCCCTTTCGCGCTGCTCGCCCCGCCCACCCTGTGCATACTCGGTGACGACAAGATCCGCGGGCGGATGGTAGGGCCGGTCGACGTTTGCAAACATCGATGAAGTGGTGGTCGGGATGGGATTGGGCGAGAACCCACCGAACGCCGGTTTCCTTCCATGTAGTAGGCGACGAATTGGCGGCGGAGCACTCGGAGGAATGGTGCTTGCCGGGGCAGACACCTTGGTGGGACCGAAGACCTGGGGTTAGAAAACACGCAGACAGGACCTTCTTTCAGTTGATGGTGGTAGCACGTGGTAGCGTAAATTCCTGGGGAGGGCTCTTTGATGTGAAGATGGGTCGCATGTCGAATAGGTAATCGTCGCTGTACTTGTGTACCAACATCAATAATCACATCGGTTCCGTCGAGTTCCTCAACCAACGCGAAGCGCATGGACAAGCTCACCGCCTCCCTGGCGATCGGGCGGTGACAGCATGCATGGATATAGCCGACTCCGCCGCCGCTGCCACCTTGTGGTTTCCTCTGCCCGCGGTGATAGGCGCTTCGCGTTGGCTGAGGAGTTCGACGGAGTCGATGTGGTGCATATTCCAACGTTTGTACACGACTACAACCGTGACGGCTCGTCAGCAAACAAACGATCGGCCTACATACCGTACCTGGACAATACCCATACCACGAACATCTCAAACATTTTGTCACGTTCGTTTCGCTGATGTCCTCTATCCGGCCGAAGCAGTGTCACCGTGGACACATCAAAGGACAAGGTGACCACGGTGACAGTGGCGACGGCGGCTATTTACATGCATTTGAATACACGAGGAATATGATTGGAACGCCCTGAATACGGTCTGCAACACGTACAGGACTCGGGAGTAGCACTGAAATATCCCTCGAGTTCGTACCCCGTACGAGGGGCTTGTTCTTAATTCTCCACCCCCCTCTTTGTTGGTTGATGTGCTGTCTCTGTCTAGATTCGTCATCACAATATATTCCCAACGAGGATTTCGGAGAACGTCCGCTTTGAACCGTACCCCCCCGGCCCAGCTGCATTACCATACAACAAGGCAGACCGGTTTGGCATCTACCATTCATTGCGTTTCTTTTGAAAATCGCCCTGCTATTCCGAGTACACTTCGAGGAAAGAGAGTGCTGCACTTTTCCCGCGTATTATCGAAGGGGAGCACCTCAGGAGGGGTGAATATAGGGGAGTAACGCTTGTTCTGTGTGGCCACGGATTGGAACTCCTACCCGACAGAAATTCTGTGCGGGAACGCTAAAAAAACAAATTCAAATGAAACAATAATATCCATAATAACTAGTCAAAGTTTCGGGGAATCTGGTGATTCACAGTCAGTCTTCGTGCCAATTCTGGAGGAGACGAGGTTTACCAATCTTGCTCTGTTCGATAAGTCAGACGGGTTTTGCTTTACGCGGGGGTACACAGTTCATCGGGACCCCAGCTCGATATTCTGCGCACGATTGGACACGCGACGACCCCACCCCGTCAAATATCTGGCGTGTTCGGATTTATTAGCGTTAGCTTGTGTCTCACCTCTATCTCAAGACAAGAGTAAAAGACCGATGAGATATGCCCTTCAGGGCGAAGTCGGCCTTGAGCACCCAGGTGTACCGAAGAACCTTGTTCACGTCATCGGCAGGTGCAAGTGAAGCGTGTTATTTGTCAAGACGCTGCACCAAAGACATACCTACTGTAGTACCCAACATTTTCTAGTACAACATTTCAGCGGAGGTGTTTACTGCCGCAGTGATGTATGCAGTGCCGATATCGAGTAGGGTCGGGCCTGGATTCGAACAACAAGCGAGCAAGTGCATTTGTCGGGAAAACGTGAAGCAGAGGGAAGTCTGCAGAACATATATCTAACCCTTGGGTTTATCACGTAGAACTAGGAAGGAGCCCGCCCCCCCGCCTTATTTTGTTTCTAATCCAACTCACCGAAAAATAATAACTTGCTTATACAACGAAGCATATCTACGTGCTTGCTTGTGATTCAGTCAATCAAGTACATCGTGTTTACCACAAAGATATGCTTCAAGTACAAGGTAGGTGATGCTTCTGTGCAACAACAACCACGGTCGGGGGGCACCTTCTCATTCGTACGAAGCAAAACCAACCCACCTATCGTACCTGCCCGTGCTGGTTGCTTGCAGGTGGTAAGCTGCGTTCACGGCGTGTAAAAATGCGCTGCTACTCTGTATGCTCCAAGAGCATGGAGCACAAACGACGGTTGGTTGCCTACTCTACACTCATTCTCGTAATCGAATTTCCGTTGGTCAGCGTGCCGGGCTTCCATATCGAACGAGTACAAGGCGGCAGCGTCGCACAACCTGCACTGCCACCTTCTGGCGGACAACGACCACCATTGTGAATCGCGCCGTCGTGTTGATGTTTTGGCAACTTGGGAGCATCGCACAAACAGCAGCGACATACAACAATTGATTGACAATTTGGTCGGCTTTGCACTACAAGAACGGCACACAATTATATATATGAACGGTTTCTGTCAGAGGGCTCACTGAGCACGATGAGGGTCATACTCTTGTGGCTACATAGAGTTTGTACGAGTTTCGCTCTTGAAAACCACCACCACCTCCTCACCCCGCTCAGACGACTCGCCGCGATAAAAAGTGGTAGGCGGACAACCGTCCGGCATCGTCACGGACGGTTGGTACTGGGAGCGATATGCGGGTCTCACAGCCCTCACATGAGGGTGGTGCAACAACAAACACCTCTGAGCATAATCAGATACACGATAAGCTCGACCGTGAACGCGAGGCACGTCACTGGGGTCTGAAATGACGAAGAAGATGGACCCAGGGTGTGCCTTCAAGGCTCGGGCGGTGAAACAACATGAACCACAGACAATGAGGGAACTAAATGGTCCTGATGGTCGGTCTCTTCGACCCGGCGATTCGGTCCCTTCGGTCCTGTGGTCTTCCCTCTGTAAGGCCCAAAGGGAGAGTAGAGTACAAGTAGTCCTCTCAGCTGACCAACTACGGGATAGTGCATGAAGGCCCCTACCCACATGAAATTGGTACCGACGAACTTAGTCTGGAGGCTCGTTTTTTTTTTTAATACTCGCACAGAAGGCGAACTATCGGTTGACACCCTGTTGACAAACTCTTGGACGAAATTAGCCACAATGATCCTTTGTGTAAAACAAGAGATTGAGTACACTAAAAATTCCATCGACCGCCCCGTGTGCCATTCGGCCCTCTCTAGGTACCGATTTGCCTTGAGTAATTTCTACTTGTTGTGCGGTGGGTGTGGCACCGTGACACCTATCTACATGAGAAAGAACGCGCAACCAATGAACGGCACCAGCATCTCTTCCAAAGCCACTAGCCTAAACTATCAACCATGCTTCTTCCCACCCCAAGAACAGGTCACACTATATCAAACACCCATCTCCCCCCACATCATCCCTTGGTGCTATTCCCTGCATCCCAGGCCTTGCAACGTTTCCCTCCCTCACAAATTCCCCGCAGGTTCGTAAATCAGAATAGTTGTTCTGTTTGGCCGGAAACGGCTCCGTGTGGGTCATGGTCTCGACATGGCATGTTCCATGCAAGAGAAGCACAAGAGCCCATCAGGGGGAAGCACCCGGCGCAGGAAGGGTATCCCCCAAGTTTGGAAGCCCATCCTCTTATTGGCAGGTAGAACTTGTGCAACTACCGTGGATGAAGCCGGGGACGTCGTGCGACCTAGAAATGACTACTCGGGAGTTACACGCGGCCTCACACCATGTACGCAAAACGACAACCAGTGCATCAAAGTGGTCGTGGTCGTTGTGGGTCTTAAATCCTACGTCCGCCGCCTCTGTTGCCCAGCACCGCCTCCTCCTGTAGGACTTCTGCTGGTGCTGGTGCTAGTGGTGCCGCCGCCGCCGCCATTTTTGTGAGCTTTCGACCCCCCATCGTCAGACGAATACCTTTCGTCCCCTACGGGGTGACTGTAGCGATCTTCAAAGTTTTTATCGAACTGGCTGCGGCCGCCGCTAGCCCTGCTACCGGTGTTCGTGTTTCCAGCGGCGCCGTCCTCTTCGTCCTCTTCTACGTCTTCCTCGCCGGGATCGTTGTCTCCGTCTTCGCTGGAAGAACCGTCAGCTCCGTCGTCGTAGCTGTCGGTCACAACACCTGTATGCAGTTGCAACACAACCGTCACGGCTATAAGTGGATAGCACTTTATGAGACGCCGCACGTATGTAGAAGGTCGTCGTCAATGCCGGAGGCGACGAGACACTTCCATGAGTACGTTAGCCCGTGCTCGTTTCCCGTGAACTTTTTTCATGAGTCACGAGTAACCCGGGGGATAGGGGCACGACGACTATAACCCTCATCATCCATTCTTCGACATTTTCTTCATTGTTGCAGTCGATTTTCGCAGTATTGGAGTGGAAGGGAAGAAAGTGTTCCCTTTTCGCTTCTTCTCCCTCACCTATCTTTGCGAGCTTCTCCTTTTCGTCGAGGGTGATGTTCGCCAGTGACAAACTGTCCCTTCGGTGCACGTAACGGTTCTTGTACCGGACAGAACGATTGATGACCTGTTCGGGTCGCACGTGGACCAAGCAAGCAGGAAGCGAGCGATGGTGGTGTTCTCGCGAACGGTTCATGAACGATGCCGTTCTTGTTTACCCGTTGTCTCCCGTGCGTCAAGAAATGACATGTCGTGCGCTTCACGTGTTTGAAGGACTGTGATACCACGTGAGATGGGTCAGCCAACACACTAATTCTGTTCGACACCGTCTCTATTTGCGTGAGACACAGATATAGGCACGGCAAGCTACGCGAAGACGACATCCGCACCACGGTCTCTCCTTCCGGAGCTGGCCTCATGTCTTGCAGGAAAACCACGCCATGCACCAGGTCTTAATAGGTAGTAGCGCTCTTCGGTTTGTTCCGGATCTATGCTTTCGCGGGCGACATTTTTGCCGAATATGGACGACTATATCAGTATTGATTTTTGCCGAATATGGACGACTATATCAGTATTGCTTGGCATTTTCCCTCGTGATTGTGTGCAAGAAAATCGGATGGCGCCTGACCGTAGCTCAAAACCTGCGGAAACAATTGCTGTGTTCTTCAGTTGAACCAGAGTTAGTTTCGTCTGCTTCCATCCTTCGTTGCAGAAAGCTCATAAGGGTGTCGATTTCGTAGGTTTCTGCTCCCCGGCATCCGTAATGCCGTCTTCGAGAAGCAACAGCTGCGCTCCTCTTCTCCTCACGCAAAACTTCCAAAAATGCTATGCTATAAACCCACTTGAAAGCGACGGCATTGGGGTGACACATGTCGAATGTAGTAGCGATCAGGACCTGTCATTATTACCATTTGCAACGACATTTCTGGCGTGCGCTCGGGCCTTACAAGCGAGGCAGCAGCAGCTTGAGACAGCAGACAACACGAAAAATTCTTGAAAACTGGGCTTCCCCTACAGAGATAGAAGCAGTAGCCTTGGCAGGTTTTTCGTATTATTCAAACATGTTGGATAAAACATGCAATCGGGAAAGTAGGGTTAGGGTTAGGGTTAGGGTTAGGGTTAGGGTTAGGGTTAGGGAATACGGTCTGCGTCCCCCCTCCCTGTTCTATTTCCTCGTTAGCTCATTAATCGCGCGAAGGCGGTCCCATAGACAGCACGAAACCTACCTGTAGCTTGTCGTGGTTTACGAGGATGCAGCCGCACATGGCCCCCCTTCCCTGCCCGTGGTCCTTGGACGTGGAGAACACCGTGAACACTTTGGCCCCCTTGCTCAAGGAAACACCCTCCGAGTGAGCCTCGTGGGCCCTCACGATGTAACTCAGGTCTCCCTGTGCCAAGAAGTCATCGATCGCCTTGGCGCCGAAGCAGATAGCCCCCCCCCCCCTCAAGCTCTCCCCGAAACCGGACGGCCCGATTGCGTCCTCCTGGAGATGATCGCAAGTATAAGAGACATTTCGTGCGTAAGTACGAAGTGTTTTTGCTCAGAACTTTAGGCGATGATGAAAGGTACGACAACAAATGAGGGAAGGGATGTCGGCTTCCAAAAGAACCCAGTGGAGGGTGTGTGAATCGATACGTTGCCAAACAACGCTCCCGGTACTATTGTCTCGAGGAAAGTCGGTGAACGAAGAAACGAACGTGTTGAACATGTTCGCCACAGCACCCCGCACCCCCAGTCCATTCTGTCCGAGATTGTCTTCTGGAGAGGATAGCTCCATGCATGGAGCACGCAGCCGTTACATCTCCATACGTTTAAGTGAATGGTCGACGCAATATTGTTGATGTTCAGGCGTTGTGACCAACCAGGGTGAGAAATTGTTTATCCCTTCCCCGGGCTTGCCTCAAAAGGCTGAGTCCGAGGATACCCTCCCCAGCGAACAAGCGTGCAGGTGAAAGGCTTATTTTGGGTGATGTTTCCAAATCATTGCTTTGCATCCTTTTGGTGCGTGGGTGCGGTTTTACCCTGGAAACCACGTGTTAGTTTTCGCCGCAGGGCCTGCCAGCATGCGGGGGGCTACGTTCTTCCACGTGTGTTTCAAGCATTTAAGAAACGCGATGGAGGCTTGTTGCGATAAACACGTCCCGATCCCATCTCGAATCTCTTCGTGCTCGCTCTCACTGGCTCATTCCGCCGGGAAAAAGAAACAACAGAATGTCACATGCCCCCCAAGTGCAAGTACGGTAGTGCGCCTCGCACGACCACGTCCGTCCGTCGCAAGACAACCAGGGAGGAATTTCAAGTAGATAAGAATCTTTCAAGCCAAGCAGTGATAAGCTGTCCTCGACCTTTTGCAAATGGAAACCCGTCCTTTGGCTCAAAGAGGAGGGAAGAAGGGGTAGTGGATAAACTTCAAAACGAAGTAGAATGTGAACGCGACCACGGCAACGATGCTCGGCCTTGGTTCCACACAATAAATATCAAGACAATGCTGATTGTTGGGTTCGTGTGAATGTGCCGGTACTTTCTGTGAGACGCGTGTCACAGCGAGAAGCGGTAAGTCAAGCCTGACGAATATCTTCTTGAGACGCGAACGGCATTCAACAGTTGAGGGGAACATTTAGCATAGGTCTCGCCTGGTCTCCTTTGGCTGGGTCGGACCAGAGGCAGTCCGAGGCAACCTGCTGCGACTCGAACGTCTCGAGGTCGTTGGGCGGGCACACTCCCGCCACCTGGGGGACTGACATTATGTCCTGCGGACACCAGAGCGACGGTTTGACGGTGGTGGTGAAAGACTTGCTGAGTTTGATGTCAGAGAGTGATCACAGGTTCCCAGGTGAAGGGTAGCCTAGGACAGTGTCACAGAAATCAAGCGATATTTTTGGAGAGGGAGAGGAGTCGAGGTGCTAAGGGGATGGCCTGCGAGCGATACGCTGCAGCGCATGGGAGGGGGTTGTGAACCGATGTCTAGAACGGATGGTTTCGGGTTCACGTCGTTCTCCCCGAACCATGGGGGCTATTGGGGGTGGTCGATGAGTTTTTCCAGATGCGCGAAGGCATAGACCGAAAAAACGACACCGTCTTACGCTATTCTTGACGCTCTTTTTCGAGCACGTGCGATGTGGCGCCCATCTTTTTTCACGAGCGTGCCTGGTCCTGTGTGCGGCTGGCCAGCCAAGCGGTAACCAATACGCATCGCCGATACAGGTAGCACAAGTGTTTATCGGTGAACGTGACCAATCTCCTGTGCCTTCTAGCGTCGATGAGACTGCTAATACCTACCTCGTTCGGCTTGTCGCCGACCGTTCCCCGAGCCTGCGGTAGTAACGCCTCGAATCACCAGGTTGTTGCGTTGTTGTGTGTATCAACGCTCTATTGCTTTCAAGCGTGCATTCTATTGTGGATGCCTACCCCTGCAACTCATGCTTCTTAGAGGGATTTGTTAAGCCAGGCCGAGGGCTGGAGGGCGTGGTTGCCCATTGACGCATTCAGTAGCAGCAAAAGTGCTTGGCCGCTGTCAAATGTCCCGGCTTGGACATATAGGTCATGTCGATAATGTAGAACCTCGCCGGCCAACACAATGCACCACTGCCTCTCACGCCATCCACCAACCTGAATGCGGGAGGAAGAGCCATCCAGCGGGCGGGGTATCCCTCCGTGGACGCAGAATATGTCCCGGTCGATCACCGCGGCCAGGGGCATGCGGTCAAAGACCGCGTTGCACGCTTCCCAAACATCTTCCCCGAGCGAGTCTCCGAATCGGTTCTGGAAAGAACAACAGGTCGGAGACTTTTGGTTTTTTTCCGCCAGAATTGAAATTTTGTGTTCCGCATGATTGGTGCGGGAAATAGGTGTTTCATCTCGATATGGTAGAGAGTCTCACAACGCGGGACGCTGGGGACCCTGGAAGGCGATATCATTGAGGCATGGCTACTTTACGAGCTACGGGTGCACGCAAGCCTTGAGCATTCCGCGTGGGTTCCTTAAGGGATCGGCTTTTGCTCGTCCAATCATCCTATATTTCTAGTCCGCTGTGGTCACTTTGTCGAGCCCAAAAGTTACCACGAGCTCGAAGAGAAAAAGTAGAAGTGCGACTACGACAACAGCAACGGAAAAAGCAGCATTGGATGCACACCTGGCACTGCCAGAGGAACGACTTCTCCCGGTAGTACTCCACCCAGCCGTTCACATCCCGCAGCTCGTGGTTGCCGCGAAGCATGAAAAGTTTGTCCGGGTTCTCAAGCTAAAGCCACGTTCAGAGAATTGACGTTTGTGCGACAGAAGACAATATGGCGGGTGCGCTGCCGTTATATTTCGAGTCGTTGTGTGGAACAGTCGGTGGAAGAGAGGGCTGCTCTTGCTACCGTCAAATACAACGAGGAATACCGCGTGCTTCCGAATCGTCGCGGGCTTTCCCCGGCGCCAGAACGGTTGCTCGGCCTCCCCTCTTCCCCCTGGTGCTTCGCATACGGCATTTTTTCTACTCTTTTCCATCATATTGAGTGCTATTCATCACCAGCCGGAGCAGTACGTAAGGCAGGTTCGTTTGCTTGAGCCCTTTTACAGACATAGCCCAAACTGAACCGCGTTACCACGACCGATATGCCCCCATGGCAGAATGTTTGTAGCCCGGCCCTATTCCGAGAATACTCTTCCAACAGTACTACAAGCGCCATCATCCAAGAGTTGAAATAATCAAGACACTTTTGACCTATCAATGGTAACCCTAGCGGATGACGATTGCAAAACACAAGGCGGACGAATGTCAACCTCACACTGAAGACAAGAATGGGTTCGAGGCCGATACCATCCATTCACCCACCTTGAGAGAAAACAGGTAGGCCAAGCATTCCAGTCCGAGGAGCCCCCTATCGACATAGTCCCCGAGAAATAAAAACTTGCCGGCGGTGAGGTTCATCCCCAGCTTCCAGATGTTATCCGCGAAGAAGTGCAGGTCCTGCGCGAGAAACAAAGGGTACATGATGCTTGTACTATCGATACTATTGGGTTGGGTAGGTTATCGGCCAGCTCATTTGCCGTACAACTATGCATGGAAGGACCGTCCAGGCGGCAAGATCAGTCGGTCAGGCCTGTTCCTTTTTCTTAATCTCGATTCGGTTTGCGCGCTTGCCACAGCAACCAACATCACCATACATTGACTAGCAAGGAGCACTTTACCTCCATTGCTGCAGCGCACCTCCAAGTTCCCATGGATATCGCCGAAGACGTAGACAGGAGACTGCAGGAAGACGCAACGCGGCTCGGCCTCGTAGAGATGGGAAACCCCTTTGCACAAGCGCATGAGGTCCTTAGCAAATCTGGTTTTAGATGGTCACCACAAAGTAGACACGTGGGTGGGATTACCTGGCGGGTTGTTGGTCTGTGTGAATAGGCAGATGATTTCTTCCGATCAGAACGAGGTCCGCTCAACGACAGTAAACTAAAGAGATTACCGGGATAAACAATCTACGAGTGTTGCGAAGTAGAATATGTGCTCGGGACCTATGACAAACACAGCTAAATACATTGGCATCAGCACCAGTACAAGCAACAGCAACAGCAACAGCAACAGCAACAGAAACAGCAACAACCGAGCCTGTAAAAGAAAATGCTGGACCTCACAAGAGGTTCCGAGGTTGAACGGCGGGCCCGCGCGAGGTGCTCCCTCCTTAGCACATACAGCAGTGTTGTGGTGTGCACCCCGCCCTCAACCTCCGGTTCCTCCTGCCTCCCTGCTACACCCGGATTATCTAGTTTGTGTGACCTTGCTCGCCACGTACCCACGGTGTCGCCTTAAAAATTTGACTATCAAAGTTGATGGCGTTGAATTGACGCTTTTCCGGGGACCCTAGTTAGTAGCCGAGAATACACTTTCCTCCTAGTGCAGCAAAATATATCTCCACATGGTAGCTCATTCGGTAGGCCATGTGTGATGCGTTTCGTCTTCCACTCCCGTTAAATCTTATCGACTCCGGGTTCCGTCGCCACAAGACTGGCGCTAAGCCCGAAACGATACATCGATTTAAGGGAAACTCTCGCGACGAAGGGCTTCTCACCGCTGCCATAGCTTACACTGACCTACGCACGCAACTGCTGTATCAACCCGAAATCGACAGACAACAGTTGCCAGAGGGTGCCCCGGAATGGAAGGAGTGGAGCGATAAAACAATCCATCAGCGGTGATTCAGCGCTGTTTCTGCTTTCCGATCACAGTATTAGACGTCTCAGGCCGAATCTCGTACATGTGGGGCCATCGCAGTAGCAGTCAATAAATCATCCACAAGAAGGAAACGCAAAAATACATCAGCTGGTAAAAGAGGAGCGTGTGAAATACCTTGGGGACGTGAGGTAGTCCGCGTGTTCTTTCGGGTTGGTGAACATGGCCAGCATCTTCTGCGCCGTCTCGTCCCCCTTCCTGCTCGGCCCCAGCCCGCGCAGCGCGGTCGCGGTGGCCACGCTGGCCGTCCTGCCCATGTGTGAGCCCCTTCCGCCGACCCCCTTGTCATCCACCAGGTGGATCAGCGGCTCCAGCGGGTGCTCGCGTTTCACCACCTGTTTCCCCAACCGCGAAGAGTCGGCAGGGAAACTTGTGTGGAATGTGTTTTCGTTTCGTAAGTGAGAAATCGAGAGAGTAGTAGTTGTTGAGAAAGTGTTGAAACTGTTTTCTTTCCCATTCTCTGTTGTCGGACAGGTCGCCCAAAGCGTCTGACTGTCGGAGGGCTTCTTTATTTTCTGGTATGTTTATTGTATCGCGATGGTGTGAAGTTTTTCTAAGCCAATCTTTGCTCTCTTTTGGGGTAGTTAGACTGCGGCCACGGAAGGCGTCAGCGTCAGTTGGACAGGTACGGATGATACAAGGTGCTCAGCAGAGATCGGAACGGTTCTTAGCGCTAGGACAACAGCAACAATAGCAACGGCGTGGAACGGTTCTTGCGCGCAAGAAACAGTGGGAATAACATCAACACTAGCACTAGGCTTAACGACTGCTGTATGAAGGTGTGATACTACTGGAACTATACTTTCGTTCTACCGCCGGTTGGTAGCGGTCGGAGGGGATGTCGCGGATATTATCTGGTAGGCCATGTTAACGACCACAGCCGACCGATGTGTCGAGGAAGCTCGTGTTAGGGAGGGAAATTCTACGAGGTTGTGGCACTTTGCTCCTTGCCTGTTATTTCCACTCTATGTCTTCTTAATTGTTCCAATGAACAGTCCAATTCCCCACTTCTCCGCCGGCCGCCTGCTAACCCCAAGCCCCGCACCTTCGTCTGCTTCTGCAGCTCGATCGTGAGGCGCCGAACTTCATATTCTAGCGCTGATATCGCTGCGTCCCGCTCCGATATGAGGCCGATGAGCACCTCCACGCGCTCGTTGTAACCCGCGACTAGCCGCTTGTCGCTACCAAGCCCCGACAAGTCCGATGCTCTCCTGCAAATTGCGTGTGTTGAGAGCGTGGGAAATGTTGATATGCACAGACAACAATTAACGGGATTCCCGCCGAGTGGTATTGGCTTACCATTCTTGTAAGGATACAGGCTGTGTGCTAGGTTTTTGTGCCAGGTCTCCGTATGACACCACCGCAGCTTGCTGTTTTGTACCGTGGGTACCTTTCTGAACATAGTTCAGACCTCTCAAAGGTGACAGAGGATCTCCTAGTCTACTTTCTCCTTCCCTGGGCCGTGTGCACCACAGCAGTCCTACTACAGACAGATGCAGACTGTTGCTGATTGCCTTTTCTTGATTGAGCTTTCTCGTGGCCTTCATCTATGTGGCGTGGAGTAAATCACTCACCAGCGATATCACGACACCGTGTACCAGCATATTCTGGCGACCCCCCAATTCCGGTGTACCATAGACAATTACCAGCAGGTTGTTGTACATGTCCAGCTGTCCCTCTTCTTACCACGTCACATAGACAAGCCTTTCTTCTCTATGTTGAGCATTTTCTAGCAAACGAACAAGCAACATGGCGCACCCACTCCTCTGTTGCACGACCCAAGATATGTGAGCTTGTACTCTACGATGCTGCATACGTGGTGCAGCTCTCGTACATATCGCTCCACATCAAGGTCGTCGGCACTGCCAACGAACCTACGCTGTCATCACGTGTACATACTGCTGTACAGGACTTTCGACTCTGAGTACTGCTGCACGCTTGCAAGCACCAACGTGCGAATGGAGGTACTGCTGTCTGCCTGCTGGTACTCTCTCAATGTGGCCTCCATTACGAGTACCAATTAGCTACCATCGATGTGTTCTTGGGACCTGTCATAGAAGCATGACCACGGTTGTATAAGAACTGAGGATCTAACGTCTTGTGGGCTCTTGCTGGCTCTCACCGACTCATGGGTCCGCAGGTATCCTTTGCACGTCGCGACATCCTGGTCGCGAATCGCCCCTGAGGAGGGCCGCGTGGTTTTGACACTCCCAGCTTTAGAGAACCCGGTGGCCTCGGTGAACTGCCTACGAGTAACCGGCAGAGGCGTCACCAACCCTCCCGGCCTGGTGAGCGCACGCACGAACTTGATGGCTTTCGTTCACGCGCGATGTGGTTACTTGGTGACCTCTCTTATCTCCTCATATGTAAATGATTTTCGACAACCGCTGCTGCACTATGTAATTTCTTTTCTCCAAGCGATTGTGGAGCCCTGTTACTGATGCGCTGGTATTGAAGAAGAATCGAGAACTCCAGAGGTGGGTGCCGTGTCACTGCCGGAGAGTAGCCAGAAACAACAACACGAGCGGTCGAGGGAGAGAGAGAGAGAGACAGAGGGCGAGAGAGACGGACGACGGACACTCGCTCAAATCCCCCGCCCGAAACCGCCAAAACACATAACTCCTCCCGGGTTTTACCAAAACTCCTGGAAATTGCGTCATCTGTGTTGCCCCCACCTGCCGCCTGCTCTGCTGTTCGCTTCACAAAACCCAACACCACGCGCGCGCTCTCAGCTAGCGCGCCCACACGCATACGGCAGCCATGGAGAAGGAGGAACCTACACTGAGTCGCCGAGACACACATGGACCGTTCGCAAGGTGAGGGTTTGCGCTTGCCGCACTCGTTCTGGGGAGCAGTGGCGAAGCTGCCTAAAACCCATGGAACCGACGATGATAGACCAGTCGGCCGTTGGTGACTGATATACGAATGGGATGGCACACGCCAAAGAGGGCTCTCGCTGGTAGAGTGTAGATACTCTGTGGTTACTAGCGCCGAGAGTATGGGATAACCTGGCAGCGCGGTGCTAGTCAACAGGGGTGTTGTGTGCCGCCCGGATGCAATTGAGTGGTAGAAGTTGTTCCTTTACAGGTTGAGATCGTTCAAGCCGTCGCCGCACAGCAGCAGTCAACACCACTATGTATCACGGAGGTTTACACCCCGCCCCACCTGGAGCCAAACCTTAGCTCCTTTTGCTGATTCGCAGCGAGGAAACCAACCGAAGGGAGAATGTATAGGTTTTAGTGGTGGGGTCCACGTTGTTGTCATTCGTGCCAATCAAAACTTCGACATTTCCAACTGCCAAGTTCGTACAGTGTTCTGACTGAAGTTTCTCTTCGCTACCTGGTACTATTGGGAGCGCTACAGTAGCGCTAGCTGTGGGTGCACGTTGGCCGCCGTTTGTCGGCTACCCTTGTGCCGCTGTGAAATGCGGCGTTTCCCCGTAAACCTCAAATGGCGGGCTGGTGTGTAGGAATTTCGAATTCCTTCGAACGTTGTGCTCGCTGTCACCTACCTTCATAACGCAATATCGGCCGCAATTTGGGACCTGCCTTGCAAGTCACAATCAGCAATAGCCCGCCCGACAACGCTATGGTATGTTGCGGTGTACCAGAAGTTATCTCTGACCATCAGTCGTAGCGTGCGATCACGCGAGGGAGGATTATCCACGGAAGGACGGAGGCAGTTCAATTGGTGACGGCTCTTAAGATTTGAAGTCAGTCCCAAATTATCTCCTGTCTGTAAGCCTCGCTCTTTCGTGTGAACTTGGTGGACTCGCTGCTGGGGTTGCGAGGGAGCTAGACAAACCGAAGAAGTTCCATTGTTGTTTTTTGTTCCCTCCTGTTGAGTATTCATTGTAGCAATAACTAGCTGGTAGGTGAGAGGGGAGAGATGCATATTAAGCAGGGGACGAAATCGACTTGCGCATTCCCAGTTCCGTGATTCCCGCCATTGGCCGGTCTGGATCCTCCGTCATTTGCCCGCTAGCCGTCTGTCTTGACGACCCCAAAACCTCTGTGTCATCCTCAGCGAAGAAACCACCTACAGCCGTGGGTGCTACACGCCTCCGGCGACAGCTGTAGTCGTTTTTGACGGGTTCGATCAGGCGTACTGCTGTATAGGGGGGTGTTACCTTACAGTACAGTATCGAGACGGACCTCCTGTAGTGCGTGGCCCTGGTGCTGTCGAGGACTGGCGACACAAGGGAATTATCTGCATGCCAGGCAACGCGTATGCGTGTGCACACTCCGACTCCGTAACCGCCACCAGAGTGCGGCAAGAAACAGGGGTAGGGTTATGGCACAAACGGCTCGCTGCAGCGAGAGGACCGGTTCTGTTCGTGGCATTTTGCAAATATGCACTGCCTTGTCCTGAAGCAGGTGTCCCGCTCCCCTTCGGAGCCCGGGAGAGCTTATCGCTTTTTTATTGGCCTCTTTGAAGGGGTGATTGTTCCTGTCCTCTCTTCGCCAATAACCTGTTTCCTACACAGCAGTAGTTCGCATGCTTGGCTTGGAACAGTACCCCAGAGGAGGTAAAGGACAGAAGCCAGAGAGCACGTTTTTATGCGAAGGCCCCACCTACAACCAAAGTGTCGAATGGAGATGTTGGCACTCCGTGAATCGGACTTCTACGAGAAGGAGAGCATCGCTACCACGAGTCAGTTCGCCAGGCCTATGCTGCGTCCCCTTGTTCGATCCACGAGTCAACCATGAACTGCTTTGTGCACGCGGCAGGAAGACGACTGCCGTGTTCTGATGTACACTTTGTGCGCTTTGGTGTACCAGGGTTGTAAAGGGCCGATACCTGTCCGTACAGCCAAGTGCCCCCGATAAAATGATACGATCGAGGGCGAGACTTTCAAACCATAGGGCCGAAACTAAACAGGCTTGTGATTTACTGAACTTTCTGTACCATCCGCATCGACAACGCCGCGCAGGATGGGGTTGGGGAGCAAGACGTCGAGCAAGGCGTCCATGGGGGGGGCGGGGGCGGAGGAGAACGAGCGGCTGCACTGCGTCATCACCGAGAAGGATGCCGCCATCACGGCGTTGCAGGTTTGTGTGTCTTTCAACCTCGCCTGTTTGGCTGGGGCACCTTGAGCGTTCCTAAACGAAAGGGGAACGGCGGATGAACACAGATGTCGACGGGGGTAGGAGAAGCGAGCAATCTTCTCGTGTAGTGGTACCCAGGAGTTTATAGTGCAGCCTGCTCCTCTGTCAACATCCAAGTGACTGGTGATTTACGTGATGAATCGCCTGTCCCCGCGTGTGCTCTGTTTTGTTGTTGGTGTCATTCCGTGCACCACCCGCCGCTCACCGTTTCTACTACACCCCCCGACCGTAAAATTGACCCCCGCACATCCAACTCAAGAGCTTTGACCCTAAGCCACGCGGATGCATCCAGCTACCTCGTGGACGCCCCTCAATTTCACGTTACTTCAACACTTAAACACAAGCACCACAACGCCCCCCCCCCTCCCCTCCCCCTCCCTGCCAGTTCGAAGTCCAGCGGCTGAGCAACGAGCTGGCGTCGCACACCCGAGTCGCGAAGCGCGAGCACCCGCTCGAGCCGGTGATCCACCTGGTCGACGAGCAAGGATCCGGCAGGCCCGGCGGGCACATGGGGAGGACGGCTAGCATGGCCACGGCCACGGCGCTGAGCAGCCTCCAACCGGGCAGGAAGCACGATGAGATGGCCCAGCGGGTCATTCGCATGTTCAAGGTGCGTGGCTGTCTGTTGCCCGTATGTTCTTGTGTGCCTCTGTCGCTGCCATGCAGGGATCGGTCCGTGTGTTGAGCAGATGTGTTAGCGCTGCTGTGTCTTGTGTGTTTTGTTTGTCAAGTGATTTTATGTAGTCGTGTGACTGAGGCCCTTTGTCGGAGAGTCGTTACCCCCGTATGTGGTGCCATGATGATTGGGTGTTGTCATCGGTGTCGTCCTCGTCGTCGTAGCTGTTGCTGATGTCGTGGCCACAGTCGATCATGACCGAGCTCCTGTGGACCGTTAATCGTACCGCCAAATTGTTCTGTTGTCTTGGCTTTCTTCTCGAGTCGCGTCATGCCGTTCCACACACACCCCTTTTGTGTATCTTTTTGTGGAAACAACTGCAGACTCCTAAGGACCACGCGACCTACCTCACCTCCGTGAAATTCGCGCGAGACATGCTGAGGCTGTGCGCCAGGGCGGGACCGATCTTCGAGAATGAGCCCCGCTGCCTCTTCATCCAGTCCCCCGTGTACGTCTTCGGAGACATTCACGGGAACTTGGAGGTGAGTTCTTTTTTCACAGCAGAACCCCTTCAAACCGGCAGGCATAAGAGTGGGTTCGTGTTCTTATAGTGTTTTTTTTTTGCGAGAACAGGCCCCTTTCTGCGTTCAGTCTGTGTTTTATCCGGAGAGGTAGCGTAGCGTACCCCCTGACGGGGTCCCAGATCATGGGCTTTCGAGGAGTCATGTTGTGTTTTCAGCCGGAGACTGGCATCTTTCTCATTGGTCGCCGGTTAGCGCGGTCGATCCTAAGAATACAACCACAAACACACACACAATTACTTTTCGAATCCCAAGGGTGGATCCTGTGGTCCAACCTCCTTGGCGGCGCCACCCTGCCGCTTCCGCCCCCCGGGCGATTCGAAAAATGTGTTCGCTTTTTTTATCCCGTAGTTTTCAAGGAGGACGCAGACGCACAAAACAGCATTACCCGTCGATCGACTGTCTCTACTTGCACTAGAGGACGCTCATTTCCCCACATGTGTATCTAGTTGGACCAAATTCGGCGTGCCGTCCAATGGGCGGTTGGCGTTACCGTAACAGGACTTGAATTTCTTCTCGGACAACATCTGGAAGCTGGGGATGAACCTGACGGCCGGGAAGTTTCTGTTTCTCGGCGACTACGTCGACCGGGGAATGTCGGGGCTCGAGTGCCTCGCGTATTTGTTTGCCCTCAAGGTGCGCTGTCGTCGTCAATGTGGATGTATCATCGTTCTTGTTTTTTATATTGTCGTCAGATGTGTTGCTGTTGTTCTTGAGTGCATCGTCAAACTAGGACCCGCTCGGAACCATGTTAGCTGCGGACACTTCACCCGCCCTTGGCTGCGACACTCACGCAGCAGGAGGCACCTACTATTTATAATGCGCGTTTTCCGGTCGTCGGTGCCTCTCATCGCCGCCAACATGACGTCTTCTTGTCCGTACCATGCACGGCGTCGACTATGATGAGACCACAAACGGCCGAAATCGATCGCCCGCCTCCTTGTTCCCCCTGTTCGGCTCCTTATCCTTGTCCTTTAGATCGAAAACCCGGATAAGATCTTCATGCTGCGGGGGAACCACGAGCTGAGGGACGTAAACGGATGGGTGGAGCACTACGGGGAGAGGTCTTTCTTGTGGCAGTGCCAGGTGGGTGGTAAAGCACCCGTTGTGAGCTGCCGGTTGACTGGAGGCCGCGGCGGCGCTCCCAGTGGTCGTTTTCGTGGACGCTGTCGTAGTGTCGAATCACCAACCGTATTTGCTTTGAAGCACAAATAGTGCGTGCGTGTATGTGTGTGTGTGTTTATTATTCGTGCTAAGAGGCAACCCGGCTGACCAAATGAAAAGGACGCCAATCTCAGTGCGGGTGTTTGTGTGCGTTTGTTTGCGAGTCTGGGGGTTTCCCAGCTTGCTTTGGTCCCTTTGTGTTGAAATCATTCGCATCTAAATGTCATTGTAGTCGACAAATTCGACCTTCACCGGATACGTCTACATGGGGCGTGTTGACCGAGTCTTGGGTCGTTTCTTCCCGTGCCTCTTGGTTGACGGTTGCATGACGCCACGCGATGTGGATGGTGATCGACGTCACAGGATCGGTTCGGGGACGACCTTGGGGAAGAGGTCTGGGAAGGGTGCAACGCTGTTTTCGACCGCCTCCCCCTGGCCTCGGTGATCGATCACGACATCTTCTGCGTGCATGGGGGCATCCCCCGCCCGCTGCCGGAGTCGACATCAAGAGTCCAGGTGCAATCAGCAACACAATACAGTAGCACCAATCAACGTGATAGTACTTTGTAGCGGCAGCGTGGCGTGACGGGAGTGCCAGCAACACCAGTAGGGGTGTCACCTGCCACCTACGCCACAATATGCCGGTACCAACCAACACCGTTTGTAGGAGTTCCAGCGACACAGGTAGCAGTAGCGGTATATCACCCACGCCACAGTCAGGAAGAACAGTTACAGCAGCAGCAGCAGAAGCAGCTACGGCGGTGCAAGTTGCTGTTGCTTCGAGCAAGGCTAAACAGAGCAGATACATGGCGTAGTATTAGGCATGGCTATTGTATCTGTAGATATTAAAGGAGACAGGGTGATAATAAACGTTACTCCCCCAAGGGTGACGCCGAAGCCGTCAAGGTCTTGTCTCTCCCCTTCCCCTTGTGGAGGAGCTCTCTGCCCAAGCTGCGACCTCCACAAAACGCTCGATTTTTTTAGGGGATTAGATATCGGACATGGTACGACAAAACTTGCTTGCCTTACGAAGAAACATGCATGATTGAAGGATTCGCGGAGAGTTGGATCTTATGAGATTGCCTCCCCCCCGCTTTTGCCTGACTTTACACCATACGCCATGATGTCATGTGCAGGACATCCTCTGCGTGCCGTCCGTTGCTGGGGTCTGCCCGCCGAACGAGTACGAGACTTTCGAGTCCCAGCAGGTGGCGTCGGACTGCCTTTGGTCCGACCCCGCCCGGGATAACCAGGTGCGCATTGTGTGGCCGTATGTTTTGAGTGTTTTTCTTTTATTGGAATAGTAGCCGATTCCCTGCAAAGGCTCAAACCCCTGATGAAAACGGAGTCGAGAGCGGACCCTACTGTGTGTTGTTGTATCGTTGTGTGACGTTATCCGTTTTGTGTGCGTGTTCGTTCTCGTTTCTCGTACAAGGATATATATATATATATGTGTGTGTGGATTTGGAGTTTCCCCTGGCAAGGTTAAGGTTTGAGGAGGCTCCTGGCTGAATCGCTGAACCGACTGCAGGGCGCTTCTTTGTCTTCTTTCCCGGCTTGTAGATCAGAAAGGGTCCGAAGAGGCATCTATGTCTTGCGGTAGTTTAACGGGTTGTCAACCAACAACCACCCTGCCAGGAGATGAGCCTGGACGCGACCGGGTTCGGGGAGAGCTTGAGGGGGGGAGGGGCTATCTGCTTCGGCGCCAAGGCCATCGAC